CGCGGGCTCAGGCAATCCACTCACCTCAGCCTCCCAAAGGTGCGGGATTACAGGCTGAGCCACCGAGTCCAGCTTGGATATATTATTTTTATATATTTTTATTTGGATGAGAAAATAGATAACTAGTGAATTGGTAGGGTTAACATTAGAAGCAGCTATATCCTGGTTACTAGGAGTTTCATTTTTTTTGAGTTGTAGTCTTACTCTGTCGTCCAGGCTGGAGTACAGTGGCATGCATACTCACGACCACCCTAGTGTCGACCTGCTGGGCTCCAGCGATCCTTCCGCCTCAGCCTTCCAAGTAACTGGAACTACAGGCACGTGCTACCATGTCCAGCTAATTTTTTTGATTTATTGTAGAGACAAGGTCTTGCCAAGTTGCCCAGGCTGGTCTCGAACTCTCAGGCTCAGGCATTTCACTCACCTCAGCCTCCCAAAGTGCTGGGATTACAGGCTGAGCCCAGCTAATGTTTCTTAAAGTTATAAACTTTGCAGTACAAACTTTAGCTGGGAAGATTTGACAGATTAAATACTGAGAGTGCAGTATGAATATATGTTCATTGGAGTTTATTACTTTTTTTTTTTTTTGAGTTATAGTCTCACTCTGTTGCCCAGGCTGGAGTGCAGTGCACGCTCATGGCCACTGCATCCTTGACCTGCTGGGCTCAGGTGATCGAAGCTTCGGCTTCAGCCTTCCAAGTAACTGGAACTACAGGTGTACGCCACCACGCTTGGCTAATTTTTTGATTTATTATAGAGATGAGGTCTCACCAAGTTGCCTAGGCTGGTCTCGAACCCCTGAGCTCAGACATTCCTCTTGCCTCTGCCTGCCAAAGTGCTGGTATTATAAGCATGAGCCGTTGCACCCAGCTGAATTTATTTTTAAGTTGATTTTTAAATAATAGGTGAAGTAGAAATACGACTTTTCCTGGATAAATTAAATCACATTTTCTGTGATGTGTGCCTCAACTTATAGACAGGCACTTGTTATTTATTTATTTGTTTGTTTTTTACTGTTTGATGCTGTATGTTTCTTTGGATAGTGCTAAGACATAATGTCTTATCATAAAGTTCAGCAATTTCAGGATGCTAAGACTTCTTTGTACCCTTTACCAGTTTCTTGGGCAGATCTTGGTCTATTTTCTAATTTAAAAAATACATCTCAATGCACAATAATTGAAAGTGTGACTCTGTAGATATTGTCTCATTCTTCCAGCCTAAGATAGAGAGCACTTTAGTATAGTATATACTTTGCCTTATTTTAGTCAGTCCCGAAAATAACTACTTATCTTTTGGCATTAATTATGAAAATAAGCAAACATTTTTTTTCTCACTACAAGAATAGTTCTTTACAAGTAAGGGCTGATTTTTGGTATATAGGGTTTTTATTTCAGGTCTAAGAATTTTTTCTTTTTTTTTTTAGTTGGTGTCTCACTCTGTTGCCCAGGCTGGAATGCAGTGGCATACTCACAGCCACTGCAGCCTAGACCTGCTGGACTCAGGTGATCCTTCCTCAGACTCAGGCTTCAGCCTTCCAAGTAGCTGGAACTACAGGCGTGTGCCACCACACCCAGCTAATTTTTTGATTTATTGTAGAGACGAGGTCTCGCCATGTTGCCCAGGCTGGTCTCGAGCCCCTGGGCTCAAGCAATCTTCTTGCTTCTGCTTCTCAAAGTGCTGGGATTACAGGCATGAGCCACTGGTTGATATTTTCTTCTTTACTTAATTTATTCTATGGAGTAAACATTATACAAAACATACAGAATCATTTATTTAACGTCTTTCTCATGAATATTCCATTTGTCCTGTTGCTGTGGTTTTTTTTTTTTTTTTAGTTGGAATCTCACTCTGTCGCCCAGGCTGGAGGGCAGTGGCACGCTCCCGGCCACCACAGCCTCGACCTGCTAGGCTCCGGCGATCCTCCCGCCTCAGCCTTCCGAGTAGCTGGAACTACAGGCACGCGCTACCATGCCTGGCTAATTTTTTGATTTATTGTAGAGATGAGGTCTCGCCAAGTTGCCTAGGCGGGTCTCGAACCCGCGGGCTCAGGCAATCCACTTACCTCAGCCTCCCAAAGGTGCAGGATTACAGGCTGAACCACCGAGCCCACTTGCTATGGTTTTTACTTTTGTTATTAGCTACTTTTTTAGGATGGTTTGTATTGATGTGTTATAATCATGTATATATTCTTTTGTGTCTCATATTGTGCTTATCTTTATTCGTTGATTAAGAAGTTTTTGCATATATTAGTTATTGATTTGTGACTGTATACTTGTCATTTTGGTTAATGTAGTTGATTTTATTATGTTGTTAGCTTTAATTGGGTCATGACTTCAGTCAGTTGAATTGGATCATTACTTCTCCCTCAAGCTCGTCCTGAATCTTTGTGGTTAGGAAAAGGTACCCTTTATGTCAGGATGCATGCCTGGTGACTGGAGTATAGACAGGATTTCAGCTTTGATTTGTCTTCAGCTGCACTACTGTGTATGTACTGGCCCTTTATTGGGTTAGCCTGAAGCTGTTAGGTTTGCATTATTTGCACAGATTGTACCCACAATGCTGCTGAATCAGTTAGCTTCATTTTTCTGTCTACTGTGAGAAGGTTAGACTAGGTAAGAAACTTGCTTATCACCACCAGTCTTTATCATCACTTAGTGGGAAACAACTCAAAAACATACAACATGCAGCCTACTGCATATGTAGAGGGTGATGTGGTAATGTAGAAATAGTGTTATTTTTGCATTCATAAGAACCACATTATTAGACACCTGGAAAGAAAATATAGTTATAGACAAGTAAAAATTTTATCCTTGTCTTTTTGTTTTCTTCTATTATAACGGGCAATAAAGTTTTTCCTACCTAATTAGCTTCATATATGTCTTATTTTTTCCTTTTTATTTTGGAACTCTCCTTGTCTTCTAATTATGTAGGTTTTAATTTTGCTTTTTTGGCAACCTGTGTGTGTGTGTGTGTATGTGTTTGATGGGGAAACATAGTATTGATTTCTCTAACTTGACACATTGAAGTAAATATTATTATTTTCTTTTGAGTTGGGGTCTCACTCTTTCACCTAGGCTGGAAGTAAGTGGCATAATCACAGCTCACTACAGTGTCAACTTCCTGAACTCAGCCAATCCTTCCGCTTCAGCCTCCAAAGTAGCTGAGATTACAGATATATTCCACTGTGCCTGGCTAATTTTTTGATTTTCTTTTGTAGAGATGAAGTCTCACTGTGTTGCCTACGCTGATGTCAAACATCTGGGCTGAAGCAATCCTCCTGCCTTGAACTCCCAAAGTGCTGGGATTATAGGCATGAGCTATTGCACCCTGCTAAATATTAAGTAGAATTTTTAGAGGGATCCAGTGTTTTGGCAGCTGTAAAACAAATTATCTCTGTGACATTGAAGGTTGTCTATGTCAAATAACAAGTCTGTCTAAAGCAACTGGCCTTGGCATTAATTATGAAAATAAGCAAACATTTTTTTTCTCACTACAAGAATAGTTCCTTACAAGTAAGGGCTGATTTTTGGTATATAGGGTTTTTATTTCAGGTCTAAGAATTTTTTCTTTTTTTTTTTAGTTGGTGTCTCACTCTGTTGCCCAGGCTGGAATGCAGTGGCATACTCACAGCCACTGCAGCCTAGACCTGCTGGACTCAGGTGATCCTTCCTCAGACTCAGGCTTCAGCCTTCCAAGTAGCTGGAACTACAGGCGTGTCATGTAGTTTCCTCCTTTCTTTATTTATGTATGAATGTAGCATATGTATTTGCTATTAGACCAATCTCTTACTAATTTCATTAAGGGAATACATTTATTGCTTATTATTGTTTCAATCTTAATGAATCTTCTAATATTAAAAAATTTCTGTTTGGGGCAATTTTCCATTACATTCAGATTCATTTTACTTATTTTTTAAAGTTTATATATATATGTTTTTTATTTTTTAAATTTTTAAAAATTCTTTATTTGAGGTAGAGTCTCACTGTCACTAGGCTGGAGTGCAGTGGCATGCTCATGGCCATTGCAGCCTTGACCTTCTGGGCTCAGGTGATCCTTCCATTTCAGCTAGAACCACAGGCATGTGCCACCACACCTAGCTCATTTTTTGATTTATTGTAGAGATGAGGCCTTGCCAAGTTGCCCAGGCTGGTCTCGAAACCCTGGTCTCAGGCAATCCTCTTGCCTCCGCTTCCCAAAGTACTGGAATTACAGATGTGAGCCATCATGCCCAGCTTAAATTCATATCTTATTTTGAAGATATGTGGTACAATTCAGGATTAGGTATACAAGTAGATTGCACAGGTCAAGTTTGGGCCTTCCTTTGGTCCCTCCCCACTTTGCCTGGTTTGAGATCAGGTACCCTTATTGATGTTGTGTTCCCCCCTCCCCGCCCCACTCCAGCAGTATCCCACTACTGCCAATCCCTTTCTTATAGTATCATGGTAAATGTTCAGGGTCCACTTATGAGTGAGAACATGCGGTACTCTGTTCTCTGTTGTTCTCTGTTCTCATGTTGTTTCTGTGGCTGATCATTGAATATTATAGACTCTAAATCTATCCAAGTTACTATGAAGTCCATGTTTGTCCTTCTTTATGGCTGCATAACAGTCTATCGTGTATATATTCCACATTTTAAAAATCCAGTCCAGTTTCACTGGGCAGCATTCTTCATTTATTAAAAAATAGTTAAAGCTTAAGACTGTAGTGTGCTGTAATCATAGCTGTGACTAGCCACTGCACTCCAATCTGGACAACATGTCAAGACTCCGTCTTTAAGAAAACAAATTTATTGAGCACTTACTGTGTTTTAGGCATTTTACTAAGCTTTATAATTCTCAGTTTGTCAGTTTTAGGAAGAAAATATATCATGAAGAAGTGCTCAGGGTCTATTAAGTGACAAGAGCAAGTTAGAAAATTGTGGATGATATGATTCCAATGTATTTTGATTTGGACACAGGAAAAATTTACATGTTAAACAATAGCTATCTTTTTTGAGGAGTTGGTGGAATTATGGAGGACTTCCATTTTCTATATTATATATTTAGCAATGTTTGAAGTTTTCATAAGGAATATGTTATTTGTAGTAAGAAAACTTGGAAAATAACATGAGTATAAAATCTCTAGTTTATAGAAATCTTCTAGTTTATAGAAGTATAAACTTTAATTTTTTACATATTGAAATCTTACAGTGAATATAGACAGATATTTATATGTTTATATCTATCAACATTTTATTGCCTTTCAATTTGTAATAACATTTAGAATATTTCAAAAGTGTTCTCATGTATATATAGTTTCTGTGAAAAATCTTTCTACATTTATTTGTAGGCTATTTTGATTATTTCATTACAGTAGATTCATAGAAGAATGATTTAATCGAAAGCATAAACTTCCTAAGGGTCTTGGTAAATATTTCCGGATTACTTCCCAGAAAAATTGTACTAGTTTTCAGTATGAAAGACAGTGATCAGCTCACTACTCTAGTAGTGAACATTATTAGGGTCATTGGTTTTTATTTATTTATTTATTATTTATTTATTTATTTTTATTTTTTGAGTTGGAGTCTCACTCAGTCGCCCAGACTGGAGTGCAGTGGCCGCTTCTGGCCACCGCAGCCTTGCCTGCTGGGCTCTGGTGATCCTTCCGCCTCAGCCTTCCGAGTAGCTGGAATTACAGGCATGCGCTACCATGCCTAGCTGATTTTTTGATTTATTGTAGAGATGAGGTCTCGCTGCCCAGGCAGGTCTCGAACCTGTGGGCTCAGGCAATCCACTCACCTCAGCCTCCCAAAGGCGCGGGATTACAGGCTGAGCCACCGGGCCCAGCTATTTTTTTATTTTAAAGATGTGGGATACAATTCAGAATTAGGTATATAAGTGGTCGTCATACAGGTAAAGTTTGGGCCTCCCTTTGGTTCCCACTTGACCTGGTTTGAAATCAGGTACCCTTAGGACATTGGTTTTTAAAATTAATCTGTAAGTCTTTGTAAGAAATGTGCCAAAGTCTGTTTAGGTGGTTTCGATAATGGCGATGAGAGAAGGATAATACTGATGGGATTATCTTTTTAGCAGTTAATATTTAAAAAATAACTGGAGAATGGATGTGACTTTTCATTTATATGTTTGCATTTTCAGGCAATTCTGCCTTGAGCTAAATGGACTTGCTGTCAAACTTCAGGTAATATTTCAAGTTAAAACTATAATGGAAGGTTCTGATATTTTTCTTTCTTTTAACTTAATGTGCTTACAAAGACATGCAAAATTTGATTTATTTTCTTCTAGAATTTTACATGGAAATGTAGTAACACAAGTGAAAACTTTTTCATTATTATTTTACATATTAAGAAATACAATTATTTTTAACAGAGTGAATGCCATCCAGATACTTGTACTCAAATGACAGCAACTGAACAATGGATTTTTCTTTGTGCAGCTCATAAAACTCCAAAAGAGGTGAGTATTTATGAAATAGAATGACGAATAAACTCATCATAACCTAAAACTCTCCAAAACGATGGGAGAAAAATTTTTAAAGTTTTCAGTTAACTGTTTATTTTTCCATCTCCTTTTGATTTTCTTGCTTCAAGGCTATTACCACAGTGCTACTTTAGGATTTCTAGTGATCAGCATCATTTTTCATAATTGAGCAATTGCTTAGACTGGCTAGAAGTCACTTTATGATTCTCTGGCTATTACAAAGTAACGTCTTTCAAATTGTGCTGATATCTACTGTGTAATGGTTGAGCTATACCTGTTGAGCTATACAAGATATTTGTAGAATCATGATTTCTTTTGATAGGAGGAACTGCTGGTTACTCTTTGATGCCTAGTTAAGTAGAAATGTTACTTTTGTGCTTCTTAATATTCATGTTGTTTTTCTCCCATAGTTTTTGTTAAGGTGAGACTATAGGCAGTAGCAATTGTTTACGGTATTTTTTCTTATTTTAAAAATTTCTTCGTATCATCTGATGCCCAGTACACTCTTCCTTATTTGTCTCAAAAATGGTCTTTACAACTGGTTTGTTTAAACTGTGTGTTGGTGTCTCTTTTAATCTGCATTTTCTTTTCATATGTAGTAATTACTGTTTATTTGATACTAACTCATAGAGGATATTAGGTTGGTAGAATTATAGACCTTTAATGGTCATTATATTGGCAGACTTCTAAGACTTGAAGACAAATGACTCTGTAGTTGCAAAATCAATATCTGATGTTTTTTTGTTTGAAAAAGGGGTACATTCATGAAAATAAGGGGTGTTTAGTACCCAAGAGAATAGCACTTATTTAGAAGACCCGTTTCACTTAAGTGTTACATTTTTGTGTTAATACATTGAAGGAATATTAGGATTGTATCAGTCTACATCTAGAAGAATCTGCATTGTAGTTTCATTGATAATTCACTAAAGTTGGCTACTTTAATATAGTGAATTATGTAATAATTGCAAATAGGAAACTGAATCAAGAAGAGTGGTTTTGTTTTGGCAAAATAAGAAAGAGGAATTTTTCTTACTTTAGAGTAGAAATGATATCCAGTTTGTGATGTATTGTCTTTCTTTTAGAGCTTTCAAAGAGCTGATGTGAATCTTAAGTATACTGATATTCTCATATCCATTTTTTTATTGATTAATGTTAAGTGTACCATTGAATAATCATCAGCATTAGGACCTGTAAATGATTCTTAGAATTGCAACTTTGCTTACTGAAGTCCAGCTCTGTTGACTCTGTCATCTGCCAAAGGAGGATTTCCAAGTGGTAGTTACATGGAATGGAGTTGCTGTAAATATGAGTGGGGACCCAAAAACACCTGGAATTATCTTTTGTAGTATAGGGTTCCCCTGCTAGGGAAGTGTTCTGGGAATCCATCAGCATCAGTATACCAGCTAGCGTTGTTGTGAGAGGCTATGTTTGGCTTCAGTGAATTTTTTTTTTGGCGATTCTTTCAATCGATGGTTTATGAGTGCACCTACCAATACCACTCTGAGCGTTTAGGAGTTTTTGATCAAGAATGTCATGACCCCCCATGCCTCACCTTTCCTATTCACCCAATCTCACCCTGAGTGACTTATTTTTATAAATACATTCTGGGGTTTTTTTGGGGTTCTTCTCATGTACAAACAAAAGAAGCACTTGAAAGGACATTTTTTGAACTCTTCTGAAATGACCGTGTCTAGTCAGGAAACTGTAGGAACTGACAGACTAGAGCTAAGAAATTTGCTCTCGCTAAGACTGGGCAGATTCTGAAGTAGAAGAGGCAGAATACTTAGCACCAGTGATAATTTATTCAATATCCTTAAGAATTAAAGAGAGGCACTGAAACAAATAGAGTTAATTATACAAATAGTGACTGTAGGTGACAAAGATTGTAGCTTATAAACCCTTTCAGGCACATGCATTGTGATCACTTGCAGTAACATTATGATTATGCATTGGAAAAATATAATTTATAAAAATCTGTGAACATATTATAATACTATTTTGTAACCTGCTGTATTTTGCTAGCTTTTTGCTGTTACGACTGCTGCAGAGTAGGAATAGGCACCTGATAATTTATTGAGGGAGGATGAAGGAAAGGCAACTAAAACAAGGCAAACTGTCTTCCAACCTCCTCTTCTTCCCTCCAAATGCAGAAACCTATTAAAGGTCTATCATGATAACCATGAGTGGTAACCATGACTGTGGAGCATTTGAAATGTGGGTAGTCCAAATTGAGGTGCTGTAAGTGCAAAACATGTATTGGATTTCAAAGATTTAGTGCAAAAACATAATATAAAATACCTCATTGAGGGACAACTACTGGATATCTACATATAAAACAATGAAGTTGGGCTTCTACCTCATACCATGCACAAAAACTAGCTCAAAATGAATCAAATACTTAAATATAAGAGCTCAAATTGTAAAATTCTTAGGAAAAAGCATAGGTGCAGATCTTCATAAACTTGGAATGAACAATTATTTGTTAGATATGACACCAGAAGCTCAAGTAATGGAAGAGAATGTAGGTAAATCGGATTTCATCAAAATTGAAAGCCTGTGTGCTTCAGAGAACATTGTCAAGAATATGCAAAGACAATCTGAGGAATAGGAGAAAATGTTTTTGGAATTAGTATCTTTGATAAGAATCTGGCATCCAGAATACCTAAAAAATCGTTACAACTCAGCAGTTAAAAATAAATAACTTAAAAATGAGCAAAGGATTTGAATGGACATTTTTCCAAAGAAGATATAGAAATGACCAATAAGCACATGAAAGGATGCTCAGCATTAAACAAATGCAGATCAAAACCACAAATGAGAGTTGATCCAAGGGTTGTGGGTTATTGTTAAGCTGATAAATATTGTCTTTGCCTGCAAATCATGCTTCACGAGAGAAAAAAAAAAAAAAAAGAAAACACAACAAAAATGGATAAATAAAATATGGTGGCCAAGTGCAGTGGCTCATGCCTAGAAACTCAGCACTTTTGGAGGCTTAGGTGGAGGATCGCTTGAACCCAGGAGTTCAAGACCAGCGTGGGCAGCCTAGCAAGACCTCATATCTACAAAAAGTGAAAAAGTTAGCTGGGCATGGTGACATGCACCTATAGTCCCAGATACTCTGGAGGCTATACGTGGGAGGCTGAGGCAGGAGGATCACTTGAGTCTGTGGTGAGCCATGATCATGCCACGGCACTCCAGACTGTGCAACAAAGTGGGACCCTGATTCAAAAAAAACAAACCAAAAACCAAAATATAGTACAAATACAGTGTTATACAATGTGTACAATGGCACAAAATGTACAGTGTACAGATTCAGTGATACAAAGTGTTTAAGTACAATGGAATCTTTTACAGCTATAAAAGGGAATGAAGTTCTGATGTATGCTACCTCATGGATGAACCTTTGAAATCCAGTATGTATTATGCTGAATGAAATAAGCCAAATGCAAGAGGATAGATACTGGCTGGGCATGGTGCCTCATACCTGTAATCTCAGCACTCTGGAAAACAAAAATGGGAAGATTGCTTGGGCCCAGGAGTTTGAGACCAGCTTGGGCAACATAAGGAAACCTCGTCTCTACTAAAAAAATTAGCCAGACATGATGTTGTGCACCTGTAGTCCCAGCTACTCGGGAGCCCAAGATGGGAGAATTGAATGAGCCCAGGAGTTGGAGGCTGCGGTGAGTTGTGATCATGCCACTGCTCTCCAGCCTGGGTGACAGAGTGAGACTTGAACCCTCCCCAAAAGGACAGATATATGAAATATTTGTATGAAATATTTACAGTGGGTAAATTACTAGAGACAAAGTAGTTAGAGGTTGCCAAGAGATGGGAGGTATGGGGGCTTAGTGCTTAATGGTAGCAGAGTTTTTTGGAGTTGTGAGTTGTGGTAATGGTTGCATCATATTGTGAATGTAATTAATGACACTGAATTTTGTACTTTTTAAAATGGTTAAAGTGACTTTTTAAAATGGTTGAAGTGATGACTTTTAAATTGCAATTTTTGGAAATGTTTTTTAAAAATCAAAAGCCTCACAATGGCATATGCTTCATACCCACTATAATGGCTAAAACATAAAACATAGACAATAACAAGTGTTGACTGGTGTGTGGAGAAGTGGAACCCTCACACATTGCTGATAGAATTATAAAATGCTTCAGCTACTTTGGAAAACAGTTTGGAAGTTCCTTAAAATGATATGCTTACCTCAGAACCCATTGTTTCAGACACCTACTCAGTGTAAATGGAAGAAGGAAAGGTGTAGATGCAGCAAGGGCCAGAAGTGGAGGGGAAATGCTGACTTGGAGAGTTGTTGAGATCTTCATGGACCTGGATTTTTGCTGAGTCAGCAAAAGGAATCTGCTTTTTTTTTTTTTTTTTTTTTTTTTTGGGTTGGAGTTTCACGCTGTCACCCAGACTAGAGTGCAATGGCCGCTCCCGGCCACCACAGCCTCGACCTGCTGGGCTCCGGCGATCCTTCCGCCTCAGCCTTCCAAGTAGCTGGAACTACAGGCGTGCGCTACCACGCCCGGCTCATTTTTTGATTTATTGTAGAGATGAGGTCTCGCCAAGTTGCCCAGGCGGGTCTCGAACCCATGGGCTCAGGCAATCCACTCACCTCAGCCTCCCAAAGGCGCAGGATTACAGGCTGAGCCACCGAGCCCGGCCTGGAATCTGCATTTCTAGAGTGAAATTTGGGCTTGAGTAGTTCATGTAGAGAGTTACTCCTGCAGAAATGGATATAAAGAAATGGCCAGAATTAAAGGGAAACTCATGTTTAAAAAAAACATAAACAAAAACACAATAGGCTTGGAGTTGCCTCATGACCTGGCAATTCCACTCCTTGGTATATATCCCCCAAAATGAAAGCATGTCTGCACAGAGATGTGTAAATGAATAGTCACAGTCTCATTACTTCTGATAGTCCAAAAATAGAAGCAACCAAATGCCTATCAACTGATAGATAAGTAAAATGTGCTACAGTCATTCCTCAGTATCTTTAGGATTTGTTTGAAGACAACCATGGATACCAAAATCCATGAATGCCAAATTCCCTTATATAAAATGCTGTACTATTTGCATATGACCTGTGCACATACTCCTGTGTACGTTAAATCATCTCTGGTTTACTTATAATACCTAATACAATGTAAATACTATATCAATAGTTGTTATATTATATTTTAAAATTTGTATTTTTTATTATCGTTGTTTTAAAAATTTAAAACGTTTTTTTAGAGACAAAGTCGTGCTCTTTTGCCTAGGCTGAAGTGCAGTGGCTTGATAATAGCTCAGTGTAGCATCGAAATCATGGGCTCAAACCATCCTCCACTCAGTCTCCTGAATAAATAAGATCACAAGCATGAGCCACCTTACCTAGCCCAGTTTAAAAAAATTTTTTTTTTGGCTGAATCTGTGGATGCAGAGTGGAAACTATATATGCATACAGTGGAATATTATTCAGCTATAAAAGGGATTTAAGTCTGTAAAGGGAGAAACATCCATTACAGAATTTCATATATATTGAAAAAAAATTTTCTTTTGGGTCAGAGTTTCACTGTCACCCAGGCTGGAGTACAGTGGCATGCTCATGGCCATCACAACCTTGAACTACTGGGCTCAGGCGATCCTTCCACCTCAGCCTTCCAAGTAGCGGCAACTACAGGTGTGTGCCACCACGCCTAGCTAATTTTTGATTTATTGTAGAGACAAGGTCTCACCATGTTTCCCAAGCTGGTCTCAGGCCCACGGGTCAGGCAGTCTTCCCACCTCCGCCTCCCAAAGTGCTGGGATTACAGGCGTGAGCCACTGTGCCCAGCTTTATTTACATTGATGATTTTATAGACTAAAAGTTTTTAATTAAAAAGAAGGAAGGACATACTGATTCATGCTTTACTGTGGGTGAGCCTTGAAAACATAAGTGATAAGCCGGGCTCGGTGGCTCAGCCTGTATCCCACACCTTGGGAGACTGAGGTGAGTGGATTGCCTGAGCCCACGGTTTCGAGACCCGCCTGGGCAACTTGGTGAGACCTCATCTCTACAGTAAAATCGAAAAATTAGTTGGCTGTGGTAGTGCGCGCCTGTAGTTCCAGTTACTTGGAAGGCTGAGGTGAAAGGATCGCCGGAGTCCAACAGGTCGAGGCTGCGGTGGCCGGGAGCGGCCACTGTACTCCAGCCTGGGCGACAGAGTGAGACTCCAACTCAAAAAAAAAGGAAAACATAAGTGACAGAAACCAGGCACAAAACACCACTTATATAATTCCACTTTTATGAAATATCCTTAATTGACAAATCCTATTAGACAAAAAGTAGATTAGTTGTTGCTTAGTGATGGGGGAGGAGAGAATGGGAAGTGACTGCCAGTTGGGTCAGGGTTTCTTTTTGAGATGACAAAACTGTTCTGGAATGTAGTAGTGATGGTTGCACAATTTTGTGAATATTACTAAAAGTTCTTTCTTTTGAGTGGGAGTCTCAATCTATCACCCAAGCTAGAGTGCAGTGGCACACTCACGGCCACTGCAGCCTCGACCTGTTGGGCTCTGGCGATTCTTCCACCTCAGTCTTCCAAGTAACTGGAACTACAGGCACATGATGCCACCATGCCCAGCTGATTTTTTGATTTATTGTAGAGATGAGGTCTTGTCAAGTTGCCTAGACTGGTCTTGAACCCCTGGACTCAGGTAATCCTCTTGCCTCGGTGTCCCAAAGTGCTGGGATTATAGACATGAGCCACCGTGCCCAGCTTAGTTACTGAGTTTTTAAAAGAGAAAATTTTATGGTTTATGAATTTTAATTAAAAAGTAAAAAATACCATTAACAGTTTTGTATCAGTTACATGTTGAAATGGTAATATTTTGGATATAGTGGTTTAAATATATTATTAAAGTTAATTTCAGCCATTTCTCTTTACTTTTTAAATGTATATACTAGGAAATTTAAAATTAATTGCGTGGCTTGCATTATACAGTCAACCCTTCACCAACATGGGGATTAAGGGTGCCAATTCTCCAGTCAAAAATCTGTGTATAACTTGACTCCCATAAAGCTTGGACTAGTAATAGCCTGCTGTTGACTGGAAGACTTGCCTTTTCTGTAACATAAAAAGTTGATAAACATATATGTTATATATTATATGTGTGTATTATATGCTATAGTCTTACAGTAAACTAGAGAAATGAAAATATTGTTAAGAAAATTATAAGAGAAAATATATCCTCATTGTTGTCATGTTGAGTAGGCTGAGGAGGAGGAGGGATTGGTCTTGCTGTTTCCAGGGCAAAGATGAAAGGAGATCTGAGCATAAGTGGACCCACACAGTTCAAAACCATGCTATTCAAGGATGAACTACATTTCTATTGATAATTTTGGTTTAAAGGTTGTAAAACTGTCCCATGGTATAACCAAATGATAGATATGAGAAACACAGTGACTTGGGATATTATTATTATTATTATTATTTTGAGTTGGAGTCTCACTCTGTCGCCCAGACTGGAGTGCAGTGGCCGCTCCCAGCCACCGCAGCCTTGACCTGCTGGGTTCTGGCGATCCTTCCGCCTCAGCCTTCCAAGTAGCTGGAATTACAGGCATGTGCTACCATGCCCGGCTGATTTTTTTTGATTTATTGTAGAGATGAGGTCTCGCTGCCCAGGTGGGTCTCGAACCCGCGGGCTCAGGCAATCCACTCACCTCAGCCTCCCAAAGACACGGGATTATAGGCTGAGCCACCGAGCCCGGCAGGATATTAATTTTTAACCAGATAATCTGCAGTCAGGTATCTGGAGAAAGATAGTTTTTCCAGTAAGTATTGCTCATCATATTGTTTTTGGCAATGAGTTGACTAAACCATAAGTTCATATGAATACATAGTTAGAGAGTACTTTTTTTGTTTAGAGAATCTTTGTGTATTGCCATGGCACTAAGCCATATTTAGTAGTTGTTGTCATTTCTAAGTAACAGCTTCGGTTTCAACACTTGAACGATATTCTAATTACTTGGTAGAGTTATTGAACTAGAGTTACTGTTACTCCTTTCTCTAGTTGTTTTTTCTTTCTGGTTGACTCCCTGCTTGGTTCCTAGTTCTTCTTTTCCTTGACGCTTCTCCCTGTCTGCCTTCAGGAGGACTGAATGAGGAGAATTACTTCTTTGCAGTTTTATTTTTCCTTTAATAAGTTTGCTGATTTGCCATGAGGCAGTAAGTTTGATTATTTCTGATAAATAGGATATGACATTTATTAAAATATAAAGAACCTTTAAAATTTCATGTTAAAATTCTTAGGCAATTCAGGAGAATGTTCTGTAGAGAGCTGTGCTAGATTGGTAATAGAGTGCTAGAGACAGAATATGGGATATTTTCTAGGATGTGAGAAGGCAGTGGTCCATGGAGATATTTGTGAAGGGAGGAAGGCTTATGGACTGTTTGGTAAAGTATAAATCATTAGACAGCAATCAAAGTATCTAGGTTATTGTTTTTTAGTCCTACTTCCTACTGGTATGTTCTTGTGTAAGTTACTGACCATTTAAAACCTGTTTCTTATTTGTAAAAGTTGGATTAGATAATCAGGGATTCTTCTCACCTCTAAATATTTTTTTTCTAGGTACAATGTTGGGAGTAAAAATGGGATACTGGTTTATGTATTACCTAGAATTGTGCTGTTAGTAGTTCATGGGGATAATAAAGCCATATTTATTGATGTAACATTGTATTTTATAATTATTCTGAAATTGTAAGGGACTTCTTTCTTTGAATATGCTCATGTCTTTGGAATAAGCTATCAATATCATGAATATACCTAATCTAAGAGGTAGAGCTCTTTGTTGATGCATTTCTATATTTTTTCTTTTGTAGTGTCCTGCTATAGACTATACTAGACATACACTTGATGGTGCTGCATGTCTTCTGAATAGCAATAAGTATTTCCCCAGCAGGTAAACAAAATTTGTAAACATGGTATTATACTTTTTAGATTTAATTTAAAAATTGATGTCTCAAAAGTAAAATCAGACTGTTGGCTAATACTTTTTTTTTTTTGAGTTGGAGTCTCACTCTGTCACCCAGACTGGAGTGCAGTGGCTGCTCCCGGCCACCGCAGCCTCGACCTGCTGGGCTCCGGCGATCCTTCCGCCTCAGCCTTCCAAGTAGCCGGAATTACAGGCATGCGCTACCATGCCTGGCTGATTTTTTGATTTATTGTAGAGATGAGGTCTCGCTGCCCAGGCGGGTCTTGAACCCGCGGGCTCAGGCAATCCACTCACCTCTGCCTCCCAAAGGCGCGGGATTACAAGCTGAGCTACCGACCCCGGCTGGCTAATACATTTTTTTTAAAGCAGTTTTATATTTGGCTTCTTCCAGTTATTCAAACTGAAGTTCGCATTTTGGTAAAACAGTAGGACTTGGCTCTCAAAGCTCACAGGCCAGTTCAGTGTAGGCTAGCCCCTGCTGCTATATGTCGTTTTGCAGGGCTCTCTCTCTCAGGCTTTGGAGACGAGATGTTTACATGCTTGTTTATGTGAATCTCTCTGATAATCAGGTTCCGTCTCCCTTTATACAGCCTGAGGAGCAGACTTTCCTAAGTTGGACTGCTTGTTTATGAAAGATTCCTTATTCTTTCCTGTAGATTTTTAAGATCTGGGAGGAAGCATGCATGTCATATATCATCAGTAAAGTTGTATCTGATTCTCTATTCTATTAAGATATTTGTTATCAGGTGCATGGATTTGGAGATTTTTTTCCCCCCTCAAATATGATTAGCTTCAAAGTGCTCTTATAAAATATGTTAAGAAAAATATTGATTTTTCTTTTACCTCAATATTCTATATGTACATATTTAAAAAGAGTAAACAGTGACTCACATCCGTAATCCTAGCACTTTGGGAGGCCAAGGTGGGAGGACTGCTTGAGCCTAGGAGTTTACATAATGAGACCTTGTCTGTACAAAAAATTAGCCAGGCATGGTTGCATGCGCCTGTATTCCCAGCTACTTGGGAGACTGAGGCAAGAGGGCCTGAGTATAGGAAGTCTGAGGCTGTAATGAGCTATGATTGTGCCACTGTGCTCTAACTTGAGAGACATTGACACCCTGACTCAAAAAAGAAAGGAAGGAAGGGAAGGGGGGAAGGAAAGAAGGAAGGAAGGGAGGGAGGAAAGATAGATGTAGGCAATTTTTATTTTTAAAATTTATTTATATTTTAAATTATTTTATAGAGACAGGGTTTGCCTATGTTGCTAGATTAGTAATAGGGTGTGAGGGACTTCATAACTCCTGACCTCAAGTCATCCTCTTGCCTCAGTCTCCCAAATTGCTGGGATTATGGGTGTGAGTCACCACACCCGGCTGACAATTTTGATTTCTAAAATAATAAAGGCAAGAAAATAATCTTGTTCTATAGAATAAAACAATAATTATTTTCTGCAGTTTTAATCACATCTAGTAAATACAGTATTAATGTTGTAAACATGTTTTAGTAAGTTTTGAATCGTCAGAGATTCATTTTAACGGCATTGCGCTTGAACAAATTTTCAGAACTATAATACTGAGGGCTGGGCATGGTGACTCACGCCTGTAACTCCAGCACTTTGGCAGGCTGAGGGGAGGATTGCCTGAACCCAGAAGTCTGTGACCAGCCTAGGCAACATAACAAGATCTCATCTCTAAAAAGAAAATCAAAGAATTAGCCAAGCATGATGGCATGCATCTGTAGTCCCATCTACTTGAGAAGCTGAGATGGGACTATTGCCTGAGCCCAAGCAGGCTGTGGTGAGCTGTGATTCAGCCTGAGTGGCAGAATGAAACCTTGACTCAAAAAAAAAAAAGAGAAAAGAAACTATAACACTGAATTTAACTGTAGTTAGGTACAAAGTATACTGGTGCAGGAATGAGGAGCAGGATTTCTAGGCACTTATAAACAGTACAGCCTTGGACTAGATACTTATTTTCCCTAGATGTCAACTTCCATACTTAAGAATTGAGAGCTAGATGCAGTGGCTCACGCCTGTAATCCTAGCACTTTGGGAGGCAGAGGCGAGAGGATTGCCTGAGCCCAGGGGATCAATACCTGCCTGGGCAACTTGGTGAGACCTTGCCCACAATAAATACAAAAAAAAAATTAGCGTGGTGTCGTGTGCCTGTGGTTCCAGCTACTTGGAAGGCTGTGGTGGAAAGATCACCTGAGCCCAGCAGGTCAAGTCTGCGGTGACTGTGAGTGTGCCACTGCACTTCAACCTGGGTGACAAAGTGAGACTCTGACTCAAAAAAGAGAGTTGAGAAGATGGGACTATGTTGTTCCTAAGAGTCTATACAGTTCTATTAATCTGTGGTTTCTTTCGTACTTCTAGGGTTAGCATAAAGGAATCATCAGTAGCAAAACTAGGATCAGTATGCCGTAGGATTTACAGAATATTTTCACATGCTTATTTTCATCACCGGCAGATATTTGATGAATATGAAGTAAGTATATTTGACTGATGTTATCTTGATACATTCTTATCAGAATGACAGTAATATATGTTAACATCATTAGTTTTTTGGCTTGGGATAGTAAATTAAAATAACATTTTAAAATTTCTTTCTACAGAACGAAACGTTTTTGTGTCACCGGTTTACTAAATTTGTGATGAAGTATAATTTGATGTCCAAGGATAACCTGATTGTACCCATTTTAGAGGAAGAAGTTCAGAATTCAGTTTCTGGGGAAAGTGAAGCATGAAGGGAATCATATAGAAAAATGTACTGATCACATGATTAACATGAATTATGTACTGTATATATATCATTTTAGACACATCAATCATGTATTCATATTATAGCTTCTTTGTGTAGTATAGGTTTTTGTATGCTGTGTTTGCCTTTTAAAATGGGAAATACTTTTTAAGTTATTCATGAGCTGTATATTCACTGGTGTGGCACTCATCATTATAAAATAAGATTAGTATTACCTGTTTATAATGCCTGTTAATAAAAGACTTTACAGTTTGGTAAAACTGCTGCTAAACAATCATTGGATCACAATCTTCATCAAACAAAACCATATATAAAAAAATGAATGAGCTTGATGTTTCTCACAAGCCCTACTATAGAGGTAGTCTTGTTTTCCTTTGGTTTTACCTGAGTTTAGACATCCTAGAAAATTTTGTAGTACATAATTCCATCTTATCTGTTAACTTTCCCAAAATGAGATAAAAGTGTTTTAAAATTCTGTTTATGGTATTTGATATGGATATATGATTATGTGCATATCAATGTAAATGCAAACACAACATTAGTAATACTTAAATAATCTTACTGTACTACGTGAAGTATATTTGAGGCTAGCATACTTGGGAAGGTTTTACTTTTTTGCCACAGTGGACTGACACATATGAGCTGGTAAGGCATGTAAATGATATTCCCATTGGAAACCTGTCCCTTCTGCCTTTCTCATTTCTCTTTACCTTCTCCTCAAACTATAACTGAGACACTTTTCAGACTGTGGTTTAGTGGTAGCTTATACCTATTTATATTTGTATTAGTTACTTACAGATTATACCTCACATTAGCAATGATATTACACTACAGCAATGATATTGCATATTACTGTAGGCTCTTATCTCTGTTTTGCAAAATTATTTTAACTACTTGGAAAGCAATCCTTAAACTAGCTTGACTCTTCCTGTTGGTAATAATTTTTCATCTTACCATCTAGGCAGCATTAAATAGAGTTGAAGAAATATTGGAGTATTTATTTTATTACCCTCTTCCCACAAAGTTTAGGTTTGAATTATATGCACATGTGAGATTATTTACAATACTTCATTGGTTCCAAGGGTGTTGATGAATGGTCAGACAATTTTTGGCCTTTGTTATAGTTCAGTGTCTTAAGAAGGGTTCAATTACAAATTTAACAATCTTATTTATCGAATGCCATTTTTGATGACGTACTGGAGGTCTTATTGCCACACTGATTTAATGAGGCACTAAGATAAGGTAAAAATATTGTATATGTTGTGATCAGATTTAACAAACATGAAGAACTTTTTCATTTAAAAGGGTTATTTTGGAATGAAGATGCAAATGTATTCATCTTAATTGTTTTTTCAAATTTGAGGGAATAATTTATACCATATTATGAGACAAGTATGTACAGCAAAAATGTGGAAAATGGTAACGTGCTGAGAGTGTGTATTTGTAGTGTATGCCTTTCCAAGCCTGCCAGTTTTTTTTCTTTTTAGCTTTGAACATTGCTATCCCAGCAGCCACAGTCACTGTTGTACACCAGCCCTCGACTATTATTTAAGAAGTTTTATGTTCACAGTGAAAGGAATGTCGACTTTTAAATTATGCATTTATGTTAATATCACTATAAATCACTGGGAATATTAATTTTTAAATATACTTACTAAATATTGAGAGACTAAATAACTTGAGCTAATAAATTATATACAACAGTGTAGCTGTTCTCTTTTTTTTTTTTTTTTTGAGTTGGAGTCTCACTCTGTTGCCCAGGCTGGGGTGCACTACAGCCCTGGCCCACTAGGCTCAGGCAATCCTGCCTCAGCCTTCCAAGTAACTGGAACTATAGGTGCGCACTATCATGCCCGGCTAATTTTTTTATATATTGTAGAGACAGTGTCTCACGAAGTTGCCCGGGCTGGTCTCGAACCCTTGAACTCAGGCAGTCCTCTTGCCTTTGCCTCCCAAAGTGCTGGGATTATAGTTGTGAGCCACCATGCCCGGCTAGCTGTTCTATTTAGACGGTACTCACAACAGATTTCTGTTGCTTGACTCATTTCTTAGTGAACATTTAAACTAAGTTAGTGACTGGGTATTGGTGATCTGGCTAAGTATTTCGAAGCACATTTTAAATATTATGGCTTAGAGTTTATGGTGAAATGAAATATGATTTTTTTTCCTTACTTATTCTAACTTCCTTGTACTATGTTTGAAATTGTTCTAAAAAATTCTCCAAAAGAAAACATCAATTTGTAATCTTGCTTTTGTATTCATATTGATGTCTCACTAATATTCGTTGTACTGTGAAGTTGATTCTACACTAGGTAAGACCTAAATGAAACAGTTTATGTTTTTCAGAGTTTTGAAAATGTATGTACATAAATGCTATTAAAAAAATTGATGAGCCTGGCCACCATTGATTTATAAAAGAAAGTCTTCTAAGAAGAGGGGAATGGAGAATTCACAGTTCTGTGTGATAGGGAATTTAGACTCCACTTTTTGTTTAAAATATCTCATTATGATCCAGAAATTAAACTTAGATTTTTCTTTCCATAAAGACCAGATAGTCAACTCATTGTTTTTCTCCTATTGTATCTGGGAAAGTAGCTAACTTTTCCACTTTCTCTGACTTGAGGTGCTAAATGTGCATTGTTAGAACCGTTAATTCTTAATAACTTAGTACCTTTCAATATCAGAATAAAATTAGACAGCTTTGATTACATTATTAGTAAGAATTATGTTATGGTTATAAACACAATCTAATTGTCAACTTCATTGTAATAGAAGATCTAATTTCTTTCCATGGATACTTTGCCGTACTGTTTACATGATGGCATCTTTTTGCTTCAAGGCTTCCTATAACTTGATTTGAGCAGTTAAATTCTAAATTTTGTATGCTTCATTTTATGTATACTTACTGAATGTGCTAAAGGTTTCTTTGTGTAGTTCTTCCATGTTATGCAAATGTTTTAGTAAAAGTAGTTGATTTTTATTTCTTGAAGCAGCAAATTGTTAACTAAGCAGACAAACATGTGTTTGTGCGCATATTCAGCAGTTTATTTAAGATGATCAAAACTTTCAAATATTTCCTGAAAAAAAAAATGCATTATTAGTGTAGAGTACATTACAAAACTAGAAAACTTCCTAGTGAATTCCCTAGAGGGTTAGATTACTTATCTAATAGGTTTAATCAGGAGCATCACTCTTCATTTGTGTAATTTTTCTGCTATTTACATTGCTTTCTTCCCTTTTTTTTTTTTTTTTTTTAGTTGGTGTCTCACTCTGTCACACAGGCTAGAGTGCAGTGGCAAGCTCTTGGCCACCACAGCCTTGACCTGCTGGGCTCAGGATGATCCTTCCACCTCAGCTTTCCAAGTAACTGGAACCACAGGCATGTGGCACCTTGCCCAACTTAATTTTTGACTTATTGTAGAGACAAGGTCTTGCAGTGTTGCTCAGGCTGGTCTCCAACCCCGGAGCTCAGGCAATCTTGCCTCTGCCTCCCAAGTACTGGTGTTACAGGAGTAAGCCACTGCCCTTGGCTACATTTCTTTTTATAGAACTCAAGTGTGAGAACCTAATGTAATTAAGATAAGACTAAATTTTCATATTAATTTAAATATGCAAAAGGTAAAAACACTGACATTCTGAACTACATCCATGAAGATAGTATGTAATTAAGTGTTTGATAGTGATCTGGGATTGTGACATCAACATTCAAAACCAGTAAGCTCTTCATTTTAAGAGTAATTGATTTTATCCTTGCTAAGAGTAGTTTATACCACCATACATAGTGTATTTATCACTTTATTTTGGGTACACCTCAGGAGTACCTGTATTTTGTATAACAGCTAAGCATGTTTACTTAAAAATTATAATTTTTTATAGTCTATGGGACTATCTCTGCCTTGAGTGTCAAAGGAACATGCTCATACAATATGGTGCTTTATGTAAAAAATTTCTACATTTCTGCAACTATTTGCTAATTTTAAGTATTTTTGGTTTTCCTTAGCATCAATGTTTAGATGAAAATTCTAGTTTTTTTCAAGAAATGCTTTATATGAGAGGGGACTAAAACTTAAAGTTTATTTATTAAAAAAATTATGTATTTTTTTTTACATGTTTAAACTTTAGTCACCTTCAAAGTACTCTCTGTTTGATGCAGTACACCTATTGGGATGCTTTTTTCCACTGCTCAAAACAGTTTTTGAACTCGTTAGTTTTGATACCTTTTAGTGCTTCTGTAATTTTTTGTTTCATCTTTTTCACATTGACCCAACGTTTCCCTTTGAGGATTTTTAAAATCAGGGAACCAAAAAAAAAGTCACTCGGGGTGAGATAGGGTGGGGCACAGGAGTCATGCTGGTTTTGATAAAAAATTGCTGAACATTCAGCACATGCCACCACACCCAGCTAATTTAAAAATTTTTCTTTTAGTGATGAGTTGGCGCTGTGTTGCCCAGGCTACAGTGCAGTAGTGCAATCATAGCTCACTGCAACCTTGAATTCTTGGGCTTAAGTGATTTCAGTCAAGATTGGGTGTGTTCTGGGTGGCTTATAAAATGGGCAAACATGTTGAAAGAATCTCCAAAAAAAAATTCACTGAATTTTTTTGAAATACAGCCTCTCACAACAATGCTAGCTGGTACACTGATGCTGATGGGTTCCTAGAACACCTACCTAGCAGGGGAACCCTGGACAACAAAGGGCCTGCCCTCCAAAAGATAATTCTGTTTCCGGGGGGGTGTCCTCCCTCATACCTTTTTCTAAAAGTAAGGGTTAACTCAAGAATAATAGAATTCTATCCTTGTATTTCCCCTTACGTCTCTCAGAGATAGATCGAAGGGAGTTGATGAAGAGTTGATAAAGGAATCAGATGAACTTCAGAGAAAAGGAAATTAAATAGAGGGTATAGTCATTATTGCACTGGCAAATGAGATACCCCTTTACCCAATTTCAATAATTCAGTAGGATCTTTTTGACTTTTGAGAATAAATCCCTCCTTACCTGCCCTAAAAGATGCCATTGTGGTTTTAAAACTGCACATGTATGTATGCAATAGAGAAATTGTGCTTGCCTTGATTTTGGTTTAAACCACTTTTAAATCTTTGGTGCTGGCCATTGCTTTGCTAAGCCATGGTCTGACCATGTGGCTTCTTGAGCCATGGTTGCCATGTTTCCCAGCCTTGGTTCCCTCCCCTACCTTGGGGAGATGAATCTCCTCTCTCTTCTAATTTACTTTCTAAATAAACTATATTTTCTAATCTCAAAAAAAAAAATCTTTGGTGCTTTTGTTTCTGTATACATCATTTTATAAAACAAATACAGATCTTGGATTCTGATTTTTGAGATACCTTGTTAGTGATTGTGTTCGTTTCCTATGGCCTGTTAAATTACCACAAATTTAGTGGAGTAAAACAACATAAATATATTTCACAGTTACTGAAGTCAGAGCTCAAAAGTCAGTTTCACTGGGTGAAAATCAGTTTCCTGGTTCCTTCTAGAAATTTCGGGGGAGAATTCTTTCCTTGCTTCTTCCAGCTTCTGATGG